GGGCGTTTGTGAGACTTCCCGAAAACCGGTTAGTCACTCCTACTATAATCCATGCCTGAAATGTATGCCCAAATTAAAACTGGAGCAGCTAATCTTAAATACCACTTACTGAATAGTTTAATTTGGCTTAAAAAGAAAAACAAAAGTTTATAGAGTAACTTACTAAGGAATGGATAATATTTCAATAGGCCAGTTAAATCTTCATAACGATAAAATAGCCACATCATAATTAGATCGTTTAATTAGAACTAATTAGAACAAAATAATTAATTAGAACAAAAGTTAGAACAATATCAGAGCGCTCGCTGGCGTCGTAATGTAGTACAGCTTGAATGCCGTTTGCAGGCTAAGATATATGTTGCAAGTTCTAATTTTACGGTAACATCTTTGCGTAATCTTATGACGTCACACTGCGCCGTTGCTGAAATCACATCATCTACCTGTAAGGTTTCCGCAGTGAGCTGTTATTTTTAATATTCACATTCTACTGATCCTCACTTACATCACTTACGTTACGTCTTGCAGTTCCTCGTGGGACATAAAATTATCATTGGCGCTGATGTCAATGCGTCATCTTCATTATGGTATGGCAAGTTGCGTTCAATCGACACGGTTTGACGTTATGCGGTTGAAGATTTCATTGCGGAAATGAATCTATTCACAATACCTCCGATGCACCACCAACTTTTTGCAACCCAATGGGTGAGTCTTCTATTGACGTGACGCTTACGCGCGGCGACGTCTCGATATCCGGATGGCATGTCCTTCCGGACGCATCCTGTAGTGATCACCGCTTGATCGTGTACGAATTCATACCAAGGGTAGCACAGGATCCACAAAGGGCTCCCTATAATTTTAGATATAAAACTAAAGGTGCGAACTGGGTTTTGTTTGGTTCACGCTTTGCAACTTATACCAAAGACTTCAGTCGCAGTGGTTTATCAGCCGAGGAAAGCGCCGAAATACTATCAGAAACTTTCACATATTGCGCTGATGTATCTATTGGTTGCGGATCTATCACTAACACTCGTAGATGTGATTGGTGGAATGATAAATTAGCCGAACTACGTAGAAGCTACCGGAAAGCTTGTAGAAAATTAAACACTATTAAAAAACATAACGTAACAGGAGATTTGTACAATAATGCTCTCATTACTCTTTTAAGGTGCCAGGTCCCACTACAGAGCTGCTGTTTAAAAATCCAAGGGAAACTTAATTCAGAAACTTATTGATAAACTCGATATAGAGGGCCAATGGCCTCTTCGTGCGTTTAGGCGATTCTGCCATACATATTACAGAAATTAAATGTAACTCATCTAGGACCCGTAATATTTTGTGGCCGTGGTGCTTCCCTGTTTTAAAGGGTGTATGCCTATTTTAATTTATTTTGTCTCCCGCTTTGCTAAGGAGGGAAGTGGATTTACTGTTTTTCCAACTCATCCAATTTTCTTCTGATTAATTTCGTTACGGGTTCCAAGACAGTTTAATTTCTTCTTGGGGCTTCCCGAGTGTCATGACCCGGTGTGTTCGTGGGTCAATACTGTGGATGCTGTTGTACAGGAGTTACAGTGGTGGGCGTGTGGGTGGGATTAGTCCTATTAGTCAGGTGTTTGATCCTCTCGGCCTCATTGGACCCTGTATAGTTCAGGCGAAACGTGTATTACAAAATTGTGGCAGTTAAAATATGACTAGGATGAAGAAATAAAACAACAACTTCTTGAATACATACATTTACTGCCAACTCTCAACCTTCTTCGCATTCCTCGTTTCGTTTTTTGTAGTAATAATCATATTATTGAATTACATACCTTTACAGATGCATCTGAATTGGGCTTTACTGGGCGTTCGACTCTACTTAAAGGTACGCAGAGCACTTACTTCTTTAAATTTCCGTCAATGTTTCTTTTGGTGTGACTCCACCATCGTGCTCGGTTGGCTTGCATAATTGCCAAATAGGCAGCAGCAATTTGTCCGCCATAGAGTAACGGAGATTCAAGAGGCTACAATCGGCCAGACGTGCAGCTATGTGCCTTCGAAATGTAATCCCGCCGACCTCGCATCTCGAGAGTGGAAGGCTGATTGCATCAGCACGTCTACACTTTGGTGGTCAGGACCCGATTTTCTTAAGCGGTATGATATCGAATTTCCAAAGACACCTAACACACTACACAATCCATTACTCGAAACATTACTTCATACAGCCATAGACAATATCACTACAAACAATTAAAAAAAAAATACAAAAATCATCTTCATTGACAAAATTAATCAGAATAACAGCTTATATACAAAGATTTATAGCTAATTGTCGAAAACGTAAGGTCTCTAAAATATCTTATCCAACGTTCAGGGAATTACAAACATCTAAAAACTTAATCTTAAAAATATCTCAGCAGGAAATGTTCCCTGAGGAATACATGATCCTTAAAAACAATCAGCCCTTACATAAAAAGAATCGATTAATCAGTCTTTCTCCCTTTATAGATTCACAAAATTTAAAACTGACCACGGTACTACTTTTGTGGGAGCTTTCAATGAGCTTTCACGCTTTTTACAGGTTTCGTCTGAAGTCATAGAGTCTGATATTGCAAATCAAGACATTGAATTTAAATGTATACCTGCATATAGCCCACATTTTGGTGGCATTTGGGAAGCGGCGATAAAATCAATGAAACATCTGCTACGTAGAGTAATGAGCTTAACTCACTTGACATATGAAGAATTTGCAAAGTGTCCGGCTAAGGTGCAGGCTATTCTAAATTCTAGACCTTTGACACCTCTATCCACTGATCGTTCTGATCTCACTTGCCATCCTCCTTTACACTTAGTCCTTGGGCGAGCTCTACGTCAATTCCTCGACCAAACATCAGTGACGTTAACACACCGCGACTGTCACGCTTCGACCGTATCGAGAAGTTGAGGTAGCATTTTTGGCAGCGCTTCTCAAAGGAGTACATCTCCCTTCTCCAGCAAAAGACTAAATGGCAGACCTCTGGACAAGACCTTAAGGCAGGAGATATGGTCTTGGTGAAAGACGCTCACCTACCTCCTCTTCCTTGGATGCTGAATCGTTACCGTCAAGCCCGGGTCTGCCGGGCATTGTAGAGTTGCGGAAATACGCACGAAGAAGGGCATTATAACCCATGCCTTTAATAATATATGCTCTTCCAGTGTCTTGAAGTCCTCCAGCCTTCATCTCGGGGAATATGTTCCTGCGTCTCATCGGGCTATGCGGCCCCCGCGCCAAACCGGTTCGCGACCTTCAACAGGGCCATGCGAGGGCTGCTCGGCGCGGGCCAACACTCACTCAAAAAATGTCCACGCGTGCACATCACATTTAAATGATTATTGTAAGTAAAATACATTATATACAGTCTACTACGCGTTTATTTTTACAACGTTTAAAACACACATCTAGTCAAGCACACCAGCCACACAACTGGAGCTTGGCATTCAGACAATTCCATTGTAAATTATTTTGGTCCATCTTGTAAAGTTTCGCCAACGTTTGCAATGTATGCACACAAAAACATTTTTTTATCACAAATCTGAAATTCTCGGTTTTTCTCTACTAAAATATGCATGTCTTATACATATAAATTGTTCTCTTGAATCACTCTCTCTCTCTATTGGAGAAAACCGCATTAAAATCCGTTGCTTAGTTTAAAAGATCTAAGCAAGAAAAAGAAAAAAGTCTTGTTACGCATTTTTCGGTCTAGCTCCCATCTGCTCAGATATGCAACTTCGTTCTAATATACGGTATATGAGGTTGCAATTCCCACTACTTGTAAAAATTGTATCGTAAGCAAATTATTTTTTCCAGGCAAAGTATTCATCGTGTTTCTTAAAGTCGAATTCAGTTTAAATAGAATAGAATAGCAACAGTCAGTTAATCTCTTAACAGCTTTAGATAGGTAGAAAATTCCCACTGGAACGAAACGTTTTTTAAAAAAAGATTCATCTATCAGGAATTTATCGGAATAAAAATTATAGCATAATATTGTCAGCTGTGCCAAAAAAAAGTAAAGAATGGTAAAAAACAGTTTTTAGAAACCAGAAAACTAAAGCTCCTACGAAAAAAAGTTAAATGTATCATCATAGGTGTACAGTACAAAAAAACAAAGAGAAGAGAAGAGAACAAAATTTGCAAAAGATGTTTTTCTTCAAAACTTGGTAAATTCATAACTCGCGTTCGGGAAGTGGTATAGATCTAAAATTTGGATATTTTGCCAGTGTTGTAGTCCTATAACTACAGTTAAAGTTATAGAACAAAATTTTGTAAACTTTTCGCAAACCGTCTTTTGCTAAAAGTGCCTTTTTCCCAAGCGATTGGCAGGTGGTTTTAATTTTGAAATAACGTTATAATTTCGAGAGTTTAACTACAAATATCCAAAATTTTATATTAACGCTCCAGACGCGTAAAACTGTTTTTTACCATCTTAGACATTTTTTTGGCACCTTAGCTGACAATATTTTGTTATAATTTTTATTGCAATCAATTACCGATACCGATAATTTTCCAGATTTTTCAAGTTCTTAGCGATAATTCTACTTGTCCACTAGTTAAATAAATATTTGTTATACACGTTTACGAACGCAGTAAAATGATGTTGGTAGCATTGAGTGCGTTAACAATGCGATTATGCCATGCCATTCGAACACTACATTCGCCATCTTGAATTAAGTCAAACGTCACCTTTTCCTTTGGTGAGCAAGGCGCGTTCACGTGAGGTTGTGTGCTCCCTGGAATATAGGTCACACAATCCTCAGAATTTCGTGAAATATTCTTGTAAAATAAAAAAAAAATCAAAAAATACACAAAAATCCAAAAAAATAGTAAAATAATTAAAAATTAACGGGAATCACTTGATTTTAAGTTAGTGTACGTAAGCGTGCAACGTGGTCTGAGGAATGCGATAGTCATTATAAAGAGAAAGTGAACTTAGTCTGCTTGCGTTAAGTTAATGTCTGCTTAATACTACATCTGTGAAATAATCAAAATGAATCCTGGTCCACCTAATTATCCGATGGCATCTCTGTATGTCGGAGATTTGCACTCCGATATTACTGAGGCCATGTTGTTTGAAAAATTTTCAACTGCTGGTCCAGTTCTTTCTATACGCGTCTGCCGCGATATGATAACTCGTAGATCCCTAGGCTATGCTTATGTAAATTTCCAGCAGCCCGCCGATGGTGAGTACTTTTTAATGTTAAAGTTTGTGATTTTAGTTTCAAGGGCGTTTTAGATCTTACTTTTTAAGATGCCTCACTTGTATAGAGATTCTTTTGTTTTATTGGTTATATTCGTAAAACTAGTCAATGGAACTAAACTCCATGAGGCAATGAAATATACTCTTGCAGCAAGATGTCTTAAACAACTTTCACTACATTATATGATTTCGAATAAATATGTTAAGTTTCTACTGTTGCTGTGGAATAGAATTTGCATTATTTTGAAATATTCGCATTAATATTAATACACAACAACAGTTAGAAACTTTCAAGGCTCTTGAGGTAGGTTACTGTGATTGATTTAAAGTTGTTCATGATATTAGCAAATGGAAACATATGTTGTGATAAATCCAAATATTATTCAGCTATTATTTAGTAACAGCTATAACTAACATTAGAAGGTTCTTGACATGTTTATTTATTTTATTTATTTGGACAACCAACAAGAACATACACCTTAAAAGCCAAGATAGACAAAGACAGTAGAGTTGTGTAGCTCCTGAATGAGTGATATAAAAGATATATATCATTCACGACGATAAAATGTATCACTCACTCACACTAGCTCCGAATATATCAGTAACTCAGTACTAGCTCACTAGATCATTAGATCACTAGCTCAACGACGCCGATCTTTGTTTCATGAGCGAGTGAGACTAAAGATAAATGAGTGAGATAGATGATGGTTGAGTTCACGCAAGTTTCTTTATGCAAAATGTACATTATTTCTATAGGATCAAAGTTTAATATTACTTAAGAATTAAGACTGCCAAGTACAAGGAAAATCAAATTATGTACGATTTCTATTATACAACCTAAAAAAAGTACAAGAAATAATTTCTTTTTTTAAATATTATATAAAAGGGTGTTAATAATTATGTAATCTTATCAAAATGAATAAATTTTATTTAAAAAAAAAAGGTTAAGAATGTAGTTTCAATAACTGAATTTAGGTTAATATGAAAATAAAGAAAGGTTTGTATGGCGAGAGAGGCTTAAAGTGGCTTAAAGGCTTAGATGAAGAAATGAATTAATTGAGAGACCAATCAATTGAATCGGATCAATGAGCTAGTGAGCTAAATGAGTTGGTGAGCTAAATGAGTTGGTGAGCTAAATGAGTTAGTGAGCTAAATGAGCTAGTGAGCTAGATGAGTGATATATATCTTTAGAGCGAAATGATATGTATCAATCTTTTCAGCTCAGTGATACATTTTGCGCATCACTAAAAGACAGTGGTATACCAGCATTGGTACTGCCTTAATTAGAGGTAACCATGGATTTCATAATAATAATGGGATAGTTGAGAGCGAAAGGCTTCCTCTAACCTAAAAAAACACTTAGACAAACATTTCCTAATATAATGATTACTTAAAGATCTATAATAAAAAGCAGAAATACTCTATATGTATATCTCAGCTTAACAATAACAGTTTCTTTGTAAAGAACCCAATCTAAATTTATAGATATCCTTATTTTTACTGAAAGAATCATATTCTGCTTGGAGCCTTTTTAAAGGAGAGAAACAGACTAGGTTAGTTTTGGATCACTTAGATGTGAACAAGGAGTATCTAGACAGTCAAAAAAGAATAATATGAAGTTCTTTAAATAAATGGGGCACAAGTTGTTTATTGTGGCCATTTTAATAATTAAGGACATAGTTTCATTAAATTGCAGTATGATTGTAAACCATTTAAGAATGAAATATTTTTGTTTCAGCGGAACGGGCTCTGGACACTATGAATTTTGATATGATTAAGGGAAGACCTATTAGAATCATGTGGTCCCAAAGAGATCCTTCCCTACGCAAGTCTGGCGTGGGAAATGTTTTTATTAAAAATCTTGACAAGACTATTGACAACAAGGCTATGTATGACACTTTTTCTGCATTTGGGAATATTTTAAGTTGCAAAGTAGCTCAAGATGAAACTGGAGCCTCTAAGGGTTATGGGTTTGTCCATTTTGAAACTGAGGAAGCAGCTAACAAGTCCATTGAAAAAGTTAACGGAATGCTTTTAAATGGAAAGAAAGTTTATGTAGGCAGATTCATTCCCCGCAAGGAACGAGAAAAGGAACTTGGTGAAAAGGCAAAACTATTCACCAATGTCTATGTAAAGAACTTTGGAGAAGATTTTAGTGATGAAATGCTTAAGGATATGTTCGAAAAGTATGGCCGCATTACAAGCCATAAAGTAATGTATAAAGAAGATGGAGCCTCTAGAGGTTTCGGATTTGTTGCATTTGAAGATCCAGATGCAGCTGAAAGAGCTTGTATGGAATTAAATGGCAAAGAACTTGTTGAAGGAAAACCTCTGTATGTAGGACGGGCTCAAAAGAAGGCAGAACGTCAAAAAGAGTTAAAACGTAAATTTGAGCAACTGAAATCTGAGCGATTGACCCGTTATCAAGGTGTTAATTTGTATGTAAAGAATTTGGATGATACTATTGATGATGAACGACTTCGAAAGGAATTTGCACCATTTGGAACAATTACTTCAGCCAAGGTGAGATACTAGTAATCATATTTTTGTTTGCTTTTAGATCAAAACTTTTGTCATTCAGCATGTCAATAACTGAAGTTAGCCTAATAGAAACCAAACCATAAAATTAACATCCTTCTCAATATTTGTTGTAATCGTTTGATGCCAAAATTTCAATGTTTTATGTGTATAGTTCATTTGTATAGTTCATTTCTTACCACAAATGAGCCATATGAACCCAAAAGTAGAAACAAAAGTTCTGATGTGCATGCTTGGAAAGCATTTAAAATATACTGCTAACTTTTACAATTCAGGTGCATGCACAGGTCTGTGCGTTCACCGTAAAGAAGATACCATTTGTCAATTCACCTCAGTTTGAGAGTACCTCCCTAACCGCCTCAGCCAGTATCCAAATCTTAGGCATAGACATATCGAGCGAAGTCCAGTTTTGAGGTCACTTAGAGGGTTAAGGTCAAATTGGCCTTGGCGTGCTGAACAGATCAAGGCGATATATTTCACTCCGGCCCACCGTCTTCAGTTCTTTAAGGCGCAAGTTCGGCCGCACATGGTATACTGTTCTCATCTCAATGCTGGGGTAGTTCAGTACCAGTTTCTCCCTCTGTACTGCATCCAACAGATGTGACTTCACTCGGCATTCTCTATCGCACATATTACATATTATGGAGTGCTCTGAGGAATCGTTCGACTAATATTAGCCGCAACTTTCCGCCATCGTTCAACTAATCTGTAGAACAGGTTATCTGGTCAGCGGTATTGCCAGACTGATACAACCTTCAAGAAAAGAACGTACTCCTTCCTAAAAGGCCACTAGGCCGTTCATTTGCGGCGAAGGTCAATTTCCATTAGGTGACCAGTCTGCTCATCAGACCTCCTCTATTATAAAAAAATATATATCATAAGTTATTGTGTCGATGTTATAGTTTAAAACATAGTTATTTAAAAAAAAATGTCTATTTCATTGATTTTACTTTTTAAAATATAGCTTATTATCTGTTACTACTTGCATGCATAGTATTGCAGTATTTGATAGCAAAACAATGCATGCAACTGATTTTAGCAGATTATACTTGATGCCAAATTTTAAGTTATAGTCAAACATGTATGGTTTATATTATTGAAGTTTATCTCCAAATAATATACAGATCTATTCCATTTTATTTACATAAAGTTGGTTTACAATGTAAACCTTACATGATATTACCTACACAAACAGAAATGAAACAATTTATTTTTAAATTTAATCTTTTGTATTGCAGGTTATGTTAGAAGATGGACGTAGTAAGGGTTTTGGATTTGTTTGCTTCTCGTCACCTGAAGAGGCTACAAAAGCTGTCACTGAAATGAATGGGCGTATTGTTGGAACTAAACCACTCTATGTAGCATTAGCCCAGAGAAAGGAGGACCGCAAAGCCCATTTGACATCTCAATACATGCAAAGAATGGCTAGTATGCGCATGCAACAGATGGGTCAAATATTCCAACCAGGTGGTGCTGGAGGTTACTTTGTGCCCACTATTCCACCAACGCAGAGATTCTATGGCCCAGCACAGATGACCCAAATAAGACCTTCCCCTCGTTGGACTGCACAGCCACCAGTCAGACCAAGCTCTCAAAATGCGGCATCAGGTTATCCTAACATGCAAGCACCTTTCCGACCAGCTCCTAGAGCACCTACTCAAGCAGCTCTGCGTACATCCCTTGGAGCTCGTCCCATTACAGGTCAACAGGGTGTAGCCACTGCAGCTTCTATTCGTGCTCCACTTGTAACTCAGAGTGGACGCCCAGCAGGATACAAGTATACAGCAAACATGCGTAACCCACCAGCTCCACAACCTGCTGTGCATATTCAAGGTCAAGAACCATTAACAGCTACTATGTTAGCTGCTGCACCTCTTCAAGAGCAAAAGCAAATGCTAGGTGAACGTTTGTTCCCACTGATTCAACGAATGCACCCAGATTTGGCTGGCAAAATTACTGGCATGCTGCTAGAGATAGATAATTCAGAACTTCTTCATATGTTAGAACATGGGGAGTCTCTCAAAGCTAAAGTTGATGAAGCTGTGGCTGTACTGCAAGCCCACCAGGCTAAGCAGCAAGCTACTAAAAAAGAGTAAATGATACATGTCATAGCCAGATTAAGATAAAGATGACCAGCTTTTTAAGTTACAGGAACTAATAGTTCTTGTTGATTATAATGCTTTGAACACCTTATATTGTTAATCCCGCTCATAAAAAAAATACTTAATAAAAATTGAAAAAAAAAAAAGGTGGATTGCACTCTTTTCAAATAATTATACTACAATATATGACTATAAGGAGTGCATTTCTGCAAACAAAAATAAGAAACTCAACATTTCTATATTTGAAAGAGTACTCTGGAGCTCTTAACTTTTTACAATACCTGAGAAGTTTGGTTTAAGTTATATAATAAGCTTTTATTTCTTTCTATCTTATATATCTCGAAAAAGGGAGTGGCTTTTGTTCTTTCATTTCTTTCCTTTAACTATATCAGTTTTACACATTAAGATACCTTGTATTGTAAACTTGGTCTTTAATGTAACTGATTCAATATTCCTTTGATTTGTTACATATATTCTGTGGAATATTCACAATACTGAGTTTTTTATTTCACTTCCTGTCCCGTACTACTACTTATTACCTACTTGTGTTCTTGAGCGTATCTTTATGCTGGTTTTAATTAGAAAAGGTGTGCGTTGCCCCAGCAGAAAAACTTCGAATTTTATTGTTTGAGATTAACAGATATTTAGTGAATGACGTCGTGTAATTGTGTATGGTAAGTAAAATTTTTCATCCAACCATTGCCGAGTTATTCACGAAGAAGTCACTCTGCAATGGTTGGATGCAAAAAAAATATCCTATGGACGTAGAAGAAAAAAATGGTAGTGAAAGTTAGTGTGTGACGTGAGGTAGGTAATTGTGTATGTTTAAATGAAATTTGTGCGTCAATAAACTGCGAAATAATCAGGTTTCCCCTCCGACAACGTTTGGCCATTTGCTAGATTTCATATGAAACGCTTTTCTAGAGCTGTAGATTTTTTCATAAGTTGTTTGAATTTGTTTATACTTTTTGTAAAAACAGATTTAAAAAAAACCATACCATTCAGAAGATATAAATATAAACGAAAATAAGGTTACTAGGTCCTAGTACTTAGTGCTTATGCACTAGGGTCTAGATTATAACGTTTATACATGAAATGAAATATAATATTTATTGACATAAAAGCATACTCTGTGTGCGTTACCCCAGCAAAATAATGTCGAAAATGGTCATTTAAACGTTATAGATAATTAGTTGCTCCCCTTCTGTAATTGTTAAGCACATTTTTAAATTTGTTTCTCTTAAACTTTTTTAGTTATTTCAAAAAAAACATTTCCTGCTGGGGTAACGTTTGAAACGTTACCGCAGCCAGACATTTTCTTTTTTAATTGTAATATTGAAATAAATTTTAGCTAAATAATTAGTTATCTGGACTAGGTAAATGTTACAATTTATTTGGTATTTGTATTTTCTTCGGCTGCGAAGTTATTCGAGATCCTGCTGGAGTAACGTTTGTGGGTTTGCTGGATCTCTGAAACGGGTAAACGGATTGTAACCATCTTTTGTACATAACTTCTTAAGGATTAGTTTTAATTTGTTCGACAGTAAAATAACAAAAATAATGGACCGTTTAAAAATTATTTAGGTAAGTATGAAAACACTTCAATACGTCCTAACACTTTGAATAAGACCTCTAAAGACTTACTTCAAACGTTATTCTATTGCTTGTAACTACCTTCAAATGTATACGAATTTTCGTAAGTATACTGTAAGTGACTAAAAAGTTGTGATGAAATATAGCTCTCCACGTTCACGATCACAATGTGTGCGGCCTTTTTTGGCCACCGATAAACCTGTGTGGGGATATATAAACTGAATGTTATGCCAATAATTAGTTGTTTAGTTCAGTTGTCTACCTGTAAAATTTCAGCGTCGTACATATAATAATTTACGAGATAATTAAATAAAAGTCATTAGAAGGTGCAAGACCGTAGTAACCCGACCATGTTTAGGTGGTTACATAAAAGCGATCACCCAGTACATTGTGCTGGCTTTTAAAATATGTAGGATATTATTTGCAAGTTTACTACGGATAGGTACATAAGTGTTACAAAAAACTACATGTTTTTAAATAATTTTTATTTAGGATTGTTTATTGCATAATTAGTAATCAGCCGGGAGATTAGGTATTGTTTTGAATGCTTTTGTTTTCTCGTAATGTTTAGGTAAATTGTTTATAGTTGTTCATAGAATTGGTACCTGTGTAGTATTTGTTAATTGAAGTTTAATTTTAGGGTAGGTATAGGTAATTTAAGTTTTGAAGAGTGTAACATATGCGTTGTAAATAGGTATTTTGTAAATAGATTGGGATTTTTTTAAAGTGATAAATCGACTTAGGCTAGCATATCGCGAACAAACTCTGCAGTGCATTATTTCTGTAATAATGTTGGAGAAAATAAAATATTTGATCACAAAATCGCGGTGAGTTAAATTATAATAAAATAAATTATTTATGTAAAATTAGTAATAGTGATATACCTACCTATAGTAGAATTATTTTCTCCGTGCAGTTTGGGTCATAAACCATAGCTCGGCCCCGGCCCGGCTAGGGCGGTGAGCATGTTGCGCGGGCGCAACGCCACTATCGATAAGAACAAATGAGTCATCAAAGGCAGGTACACGGCGGCGGAGCGGTATACAAAGGTGGTGAGACATTGTTATGTTATAAGTCATTTGTTGTTCCCCACTGCAAATTATAGTACATATGTCGAAGAGAAATGTGTTTTTGTGCATTCGCTCTCTGAATTTCTTTAGTGACACAATGGCTACTCCTTTGTTTTGTACCAAAACGGCAGAATTTATTAAAAATAATATTTTCATTTTAAATATAGGTATAAGTATTTATATTTATTCTTAACATAACTTTTTACATTCTTAACTATTGTACTTATAACAATACATACTAATAATTTATTCTTTTATTACAATATTATATCTTATCTTTTATTATTATTCTTATTTTAATAAATACGTTGTTTTATCTATTTTTTTTTAATTTTTGTCACTAACCCACAAAATGACAAAACTAAATACACTATCGATAACGCTTATCGACAACAATAATGCGCATCACTATGCCTGCCCATAAGGCTCGTGAGTGGAAGAGAGAACGAAATACTCGCTTCACCGCTCCGACTATTTATGACCCAAACTGCACGGAGAAAATAATTCTACTATACAAGTTATGATCTTTTTTTAATTTGTTCACCTGAACGAAATTTCAATATTAGCATTAGTAATTAATATCCTAAGACAAGAATTGATGCCCATTATTAGTAATTAGGTACACACATATTGAAGAACTCTTCAAGAATACGATAAATATTTGCAAAAATAGAAAGCGGAAGCGCACACGTACTTTACAACACGTATATCATCTGCCTAAGGGTCAAGTTTAGTGCACTAGATGCAAATTGCAAACAATGAAGTATCCCTTCGCCCCTCCCCTCCCGCGTTCTAGCGAAGGATGTATTATCAGCGATTCTTGATTGACAAATATTATCTGACCAATAATTTAAACTTTAAAAATGTATCACTTTCACTCGATAAATTAAATTACCGTTATTATATCAGTATACATATTTAAGTGAAACAAATTTAAAATGTGCCTAACTATTACAGAAGGGGAGCAACTAATTATCTATAAAGTTTAAATGACCATTTTCGACATTATTTTGCTGGGGTAACGCACACAAATGCAATGGGAGAGGCCTATGTCTAGCAGTGGACTGCGATAGGCTGATGATGATGATGACATTTGAACTGGGTGGTCACTGGAGAGGCATCGCAGTAAAAGTCGTAAACTAGAGCTGCATCGCTAAGGTTGTCAATTTAAAGGGCAAAAATATCTAAACTCTGAACTAACAGAAAGAGTATGGTTTAAATACTCCTAAACTAGTAAGAACTGTATTATAGGGCCCAGTGACTTCACCTTGTTACATGTTACACTCGTATATAGTTATGTCAAAAAAAATACAAAAGAAAGTGGTTTACTTACAAAACAGAGCAAGCTAACTTTATTATTACTTACAATCAAACAGAAAAATAGACAAGAAACTGGTTTACTTTTTTACAATCAAGCAGACATTATGGGGCGTGTATTTGTGTCGTGTGTAAAGTATAGTGTAACTTGCACTAGTGTGAATGTGTGCGTGTGTGTATGTATATATGTGTGTGTGTGTAATAATTATGAGACAGTATTTTTGGTGTCGACCTTAGATGGTAAAACAGTAAATTACAAATACATCTGTTAGAAACCATCTTTTCGATTTTATCATAGCTGTATTGTCTAAGCCAGTTGGATAGTTCCTTTTTAAATTTATATGTGTGTATAATATATATGTGGTATACTTTTTGCAGTTCTTATGGTATTTTAAAAATGTATTATAAATTTTAGGCGCTAAAACATCAAAGTGACGTTGTGCGCAGACAGTCTTTACACTCTTAGCAGGGCAACGGTCAACGCGTTTAGTTGTTGTAGGTAGGATAGGCATAATATCTTTGTGGTATCTTTTAAACATCTCCAGTATAAAAAGTTTTCTAACAGAAAGTACATTTGCCTTTTCGTAAACGACTGCTGTTGGGTGCCTATAAGGTGAGCGCATTATAACCTTAAGTACAGCGCGTTGTGATCGTTCAACTCCTATTAGGTGTGTTTTATACTCACTACCCCAAGCACAGATGCAATACCTGACTAAGCACTCACACAGGGCACGATACGTTTGCATTAAAAGTTTTAGGTTGGCCACACTGCGTAAGTTCTTAAATATAAAGATCATTTTTCTAATCCTCCCGGCTAGCGCAAGTATGTGAGTGCCCCAGTGAAGTTTCTCATCTAGTGCTATACCAAGGTACGTGGAGCGCGTCCTAGACAACAGGACAGGAGCATTAAGACCGTATCTTAGCTCTATTGCATGGAAACTTAGGAATTACGAGTGCAAAGTTTTGACACGGATCAGACGGGTAGGATTTATTGAGACTGTGCTTCCCTGTGGA